AAGTTAAATGAGGGTAGACTGCTTTTGTCACGGGCAACGGAACAACTCTTTAGTGACCAATGAGGTTCGACAGGGCTGCAAACTCCCTCCTAATCAATTCACTCTCAACCCTCACCCCACCCGCTATCGAAATTAACTAGAGTAGGTGGGCTAACTCATGAAACGTCGACTAAAATTCCGAAATACGTTTTTGTTTCGAAAATATTATTTAAGTGGAGCTGTCATCAGAATGCAGCATAATTCTAAAAAAAATTATGTTACCTCAAGATGCCGGCTTTCGAATTAACGTCCTTCCGGCAGTATGCAAAAACTGCACTCTGTAAGAAATGACTACATATGTAGCATGCATTTTTCTCGTTGATTGTCGATGTCCATAAACGTCCAATTATATTTCATGGAAAACATGAATAAACATGTTCATTCTTTAGCTCATTCAGTGGACAATTAAGTCTTCTTCCACTGTTACACGCGAAGGGAGGGTAATATTCGATTCTCAAAAACATTTCCAATTCCCGAATCATTTTGAACCCGCTCCGCCGTTATACTCACATCCAGGGTTTCCAAACTACAAGCCGTATATTTTCCGTGTACGAAAAACCACAAATATCTGTTCGGCAATAAGAGAAGATCAGATAGGTTTCATATATTTTAGCATTGTATTTTATCCATATTGTTCACTTCACAAGCCACATTGGTAAATGCAGAAACATGACGTCTTATGAACGATTATTTCCCAGTATTAAAAGTCTCACACTAAGAAACTTTTTTAAAACCGAATTATACACTTCTTTCGAGGATAAGATAAGATAAGACTCAATTGGCTACCGAAGGAGCAAAATCAATATGTTATGCATGTTTTCCCTGTAATAAAAATGGACATTTAGGAGCATCGAAAATCATTGAGAAAGTGTATGCTACTTATGTACAGTGCGTGACCTATCTCATGAAATGTTTGCTGAAATTCTGAAATGCGTTTTCGATTAGGAAGGATTACTTGGTCGCCGTTGTGAGACTAATTATCCTAAGGAATACTCTCATAACGTTTTGGACTTGGCAGGATATCGGCTTTTAAATGCACTTCTTTTCAATCTCCTGAAGAAAGCGTGCTCGGTAAAAACTGACTACTTAATTAGCATGTATTTTTCCCATTGATTTTCGATGGTCATGGAAATTCAAATATACTTTATAGAAACCACAAACAAAAATATGCCTTCTTTTGATCAATCAATAGAGAATCACGTCTTCTTTATATTTTATACTTAAGGAAGGACTATAATTACGTTTTAAAAATGTTTTCCAATTGCCGAAAAATTTTGAGCCTGATCATTCGTTGCATTAGCGCTTAGTGATTACACTCTACAAGGTGCATGCGTTCCGCGTAAGGAAAATCCCATGTTTTTCTATGTCATTAAAGAGATATCATACAGGGTCCATAAAATTTTGCAATGGATGCGGACCACGTTTTACATTTCATGAGGAGCAGTGGTAAACGGCCAGGTACGATGCTATGTGAATGGACATATCGCGGTCTTCAAAAGTCTCATTATTAGAAAATTTTTTAAAACCTTAATTATACTCCTTCCTTAAGTATAAAATATAAAGAAGACGTAAATTCTCTATTGATTGACCAAAAGAACGCATATTTTTGCTTGTGATTTCTGTAAAATATATTTGAATTTCAAAGAATATCGAAACTCAATGGGAAAAATGCATGCTACTTAAGTAGTCAGTTTTTCCCGAGCACGCCTTCTACAGGAGATTGAAAAGAAGTGTATTTAAAAGCCGACATTCTGCCGAGTCCAAAATGTTATAAGAGTATGGCTTAAGATAATCAGTATTACAACCGCGACCAAGTAATCCTTCCTAATCAAAAACGCATTTCAGATTTTCAGCCAACAATTCATGAGATAGGTTACTCACTGTAGTCGTTTTTTACAGAATGTTGTTTTAGCATGCAGTCGAAAGGAAATTCATACGAAAGCCGGTCTCCTGAGGTAACTGAAATATTATAGAATTATGTTGCAGGCTGTTTATTTTTACAGCCCTACTTAATTAACCTTTTCGAAACGAAAACGCATTCCCGAATTTCGGTTTACATTTTATGAGTTAGCCCACCTCCTGTGATTGTACGCATGCATAGCAGTTTAGCCGACTTTGCTGGCGATGTCTAGCTTGTGCTCCACGGCAAGGGCGATGAGTTGCTTGTGAGCGTTGAGCCCGGCGCCACCTCTTCTCCCCACCTGGGTATGATGTCAAGACAGAGACAAGGGCGGAAGCGGGTGATGGCGGAGGTGGATGACGCGGTCGAGCCTGCGGCTTGGCGCTCCACTTCACACACCCTGGTCCACAGAGCAAATGACCAGAACTTTAGGCAACAAGAGGAGAGGGGGCGGCTTGTGTCCCAGTTATTAGGACTGCAATAGAGGCTTCGTTATGAGAGAGCCCATGCAGTTTAATTTTCACTTCATCAGTCAACAGCTCAATACACAAACTATCCGTTTGTGACCCTCCAAGTCAGGGCTTTTAACATACTATCATGGTTTCATACTCATCAGATTGTCTATATTGAGAAAAGTGCGCTGGGACCCTATTTCCATTCCCAGGCCCAATCGCTGTCCGAGAGGTTAACTGTCTGGTGTGGGAAATGGGTGCAGAGGCCGATACAACTAGTGACCTCGTCTGCGTCTGCAACATATACGACGCGACCCCAAAACACAAGAAAAGAAGTGGGTACCCCAGCACTTCCGTGCGCTTTCTGGTGGATTCTCCAGTTCGCCGAATCCCTCCCAGCCGCGCAATGCAAGGGCAGAATATCGGCGAAACACTTGTCTGGGCATTTAGGTAATATCTGTGCTGCCAATAGGCCACCCTGTAACCCAGTGGGTTTTCAGCATTCCCTGTCTACTGTCTGGGCGGCTGGGAATGCTTGGGGATGCAATGATGAGCCCAACCCCTCGCAGCTGTATCGTGCAGCAGCAGAATATTGGCGAAACACTCGTTTATGGACTTCTAGCTAGTACCTGTGCTGTCGGTATGGAATCCCGTGACTCTAAAATATAACACTACAGTAGGAGGGCTAACTCATGAAACGTCAACTAAAATTCTGAAATACGTTTTTATTCCGCAAAGATTTATTAAGTAGGGTCTGTAGTATAATTTTATTATAATTCAGTTACCTCAGGATGCCGGCTTTCGAATGAACTCCCTTTTGGCTGCATGCACAAACTATAATCTGTAAGAAATGACTACATATATGGCATGCATTTTTGTCTTTGATTTTCGATGACCCTAAAAGTCTAATTATATTTCATCGAAAACATGGATATAAGTATTCATTCTTCTGTTCGTTGGTAGAAAGTTAGGTCTTCTTTCAATTTGATATTAAAAGGAGGGACATTATTATGTTTTGCAAAAGTTTCTAATTGTGAGACTTTTAAATACCGTGAAATGGTCGTTCATAAAACGTCTTGTCTCTGCATTTAACAATGTGGCTTATAAAGTTAACAATATGGATCAAATCCAATGCTAAACTCAATGAACCCTATACGGTCTCATTTCAATACCGTAGAGAAATGCGGTGGCTTGTGATTTGGAAACCCTAAATGCAAGTGTAACGGTAGAGCGGATTCAAAATTATTCGGGAATCGGAAAAGTTTTCGAAAAGCGAACTATACGCTTCCTTCGAGTATAAATTTGGAAAAAGACGTAATTTTCTACCGGATGAGCAGAAGCATGAATACTTTATGCATGTTTTACATGAAATATGATTGAACTTTAAAGGGGAAATCGAAAATCAATGCGAAAAATGCCTGCTACAGAGTATAGCTTTGGCAAGCGGTCCGAAGGAAATTCATTCGATAGCCGGCACCCTGAGATAACTGAATTATGATAGAATTATGCTACGCGATGGCCCAAGTATTCATACATAAACTTTTCGATCTACGTCTATAGACCTTAGTTCAAACTTATCTACCCCAAGCTAGCAGTTAATTTCAGTGGAAATTAAAGGGCAACATTAGTTAATAACCTCGTCAGCGAGTGCTGCATAGGCACCCAAACACAACAGCTTGGATTTGACAAAAAAAGCTTAATCCTCAGTCCACCATTTTGCCACTCTACACAAACAGACACTGGACTGACTACATGAATTGAATTTGAAAGTCAGTTGGCAGTCTTCCAAGTCACGAGGCTTAGCGCATCCTGACAGTATTAGACTCGGATCATACACGCGGCAAGGGAACCACATGGATAAGGAGACGAGGAACACACTTTCCACACACACACACACACACACACACACACACACACACACACACACACACACACACACGAGAGACTCCAAGCACGTGCTTTCGTTGTGTGTTGTTAGGTGTGGTCAGGTGTGCTGTTGGTGCTGGCGATGATCTATGTGGTGATGTGGTCGAACCGGTAGTGTTCGATCGCAGGCATTCATGAATGTATATGTGGCCTAATAGGTCCTTGCGAAGGCTGAATGTGCGAGAGCAGTGCGAACAACGGAGGCGATGGCGTCTAGTGTATGTCGGCGATCCAGGCACTGGTTCGCCAGACTTTGGGCGACAGACTGACGAATGGACAACCAGGTCGATGCTTGAGGTGAACGTACGATGACAGTGGGGACAGGATAGGTTGGAGGATGACGAGTAGGCTGTTGTTTCTAGGCTGTTGGTCGATGGGCTCACTAGCTGATGGGAAGGGATGATAGGGATGGTTGGTGTGCAGTGACTTCCGCTGCGCTCGCATTCATGTAACAGAATAGGTTCACCCGGGGTATGGATGTGTGTGGTCAGTGTAGACTGTGAAGCCGGTCATGGCAAGCGTAGGCGGGGACTCTGGACTTTGGCGCCTCGGTTGCAGTGGGGTGGCTTCGCAAGTGACCGACCAGGCCGATGCGTGAGGCAGGCGCAATGAGGACAGGCTAGAATCGAGTCCACAGCACTGAAAAATGGGGTGGTTTTATTGAGGGTGGTTCTTTGCGAGAATTACTTCCAGTTGTGAAGGGAGAAGCTCTGGCGGTGGTCTTCGTCGCGGGAGTTGTGGCAGGAATGTTGGAGAGAGCAGCGACAAACGGCGGTGCCGCACGGGGATGTTGACCATTCGCGGTGAGCAGGGTCGTTGTAGTGGACGACGTGGGTGTTGGAACAGGGAGGGCTCAGAGAGACAACGGTTGGGTCAGTCGAGTTGATGTATTGAGTCCAGAGATGTCTAATTGGGTCGATCCGCACACGGGGCATTTTTTGACGACGTGAGCATGCTGAGATCGGTTGAGAGTTGGCGTCGTGGGTCACCTGAGTCTTGTAACTGTATAAGGTTGGCACACCCGCGGCAAAGAGGCCCATGCTCCGTTGTATGTCAGCCTCTGACACGGTGTTGACCGCGCGATCATCAGCGAAGAACAGGTCATGTATGTTAGTCGTAGAGAGACGTGAAGAGAACGGTGCGGTCGGTTTTATAGGTAGCTGATCCTCTATTCGCTGCTCCTTCTCTAGCAAGTCGGTTCTGTATGAGACCGGCTTGGTCTGTATCCGCTTCAAAGAATTCTGCACGGTGTCCTTGCAGTAAAGGGTTTAACCTCCTTGTGGGCAAGAACCCGTGGAGATATCTCTGTAGAAAACGTATATTGACAGGCGTCCGTTGTCCATCCTCACGAGTTGGCCTCTCCAAAGTAATGGCAGTTGTCACAGCATGACGTGGGTTCTGAGGATTTCAGTCATTCCAGAACTACAGTGTCCACGGTCCTGTCCTGTCAGAGCCTTAGTATCCGGCGAAGAAAACTGAAGTGGAAGTGACTGATTTTCCGCGCTTTGTTTTTGTAAATTATGCAGATCCCCCCGCCACACAACAGTGCCGACATGATGGCACTTTTGTACACCTACAGTTTAATTTGAGATGGATACCTTGACGATTCCATACGGAGTTCTGCAGCATGCCAAAGACTTGTCTGGCCTTGGAGGTCCGGTAAGACACTTCATCTTCCATTTTGATGCGACGTGAGAGTTTACTGCCACGTAGGCGAAGGTATCCGCAGTCTTCAGTTGGATGTCGTTGAAGTGCATGAGAGGAGTACTGTATGCACCCCTGGGGTGGGGACTGATGCATGACCTCCGTTTTATCCGCGTTGATGGTCAGCCCGAAGTGGGTACACCCGTGGCAAAGAGATCCATGCTCCGTTGCATGTCAACTTCTGACACGGTGTTGACTGCGTAGTCATCAGCGAAGAGCGGGTCATGCATTTTAGTCGTAGAGAGACGTGGTGAGTTCCGCACGCGCCGATTGTTAAGAAGATGTTCGTCAGCACCGTAGGCGATGCGAATCTTAGAGCACTCATCAAGTTAAACGTCTATCAGCATGCCAGAAAATCTGAAGCCGAAGGGGATTGGGCCAATTACGCAGTCCTGCTTCACTCCACTAGTCACTGCGAATGCCTCGGGGACAGTCCCGTTGGCCGTTATGCACGCCGTGCAGAGTGAATCGCACAGGACAGCCGAAATCCTGCATGATTTTCCCCAATTCATCTCAGTCCACCCCCTCAAAGGCTTTCTTCAAGTCCACGTACGCAGTGTAGATATGGGTCCGCATTCTCTAACGCTCCTTTTGCAGCTGACGGACGGCGAAGATCATGTCGGTGTTTCCGCAGTGGCGTCAGAATCCAGACTTCCCAGCAGAAGTCCCCAATTCGAGGAGGTTGCGAGTGAAGGTCCCTCCGGGGATTTCGAGCAGAACGAGTCCTTTGTAGTTATCACAAACTAACTGGTTCTCTATGCGCTCATATGGATAAACGACTGTCGCATCCTTGACATCCCGAGGAACCTGTCCTCCGATTTACATCTCTTGGAATAGCGTTGTGAGTTGATTCATCAGCCGAGGCCGTCTGTTGGGAACGTGTCGGAGTCCGGTGCCTTGCTGCTGGAGAGTTGACGTACGGCCCGGGTTGCTTCTGGAAGAGAAGGCATCAGATCGAGATTGCTTCTGGTTCTTGCTTGAGGGAAGTGCTCGATGGCGGCATCGCAGGACACTTCCGTTGAGGCCACTTACGAAGACACTCCACAATGTGTAATGATTTTAACTAGAAGAGTCTGTCCATTAGTGCTGAGAAGCGGCTCGGTTCCTTTAGTTAGGTGATCGTAGGCTGCCTGGGTGATTTGAAGAAGTTCTTGATTGCAGTTCAGTCGGTACATCCCTGAATTTCCTTTGCGTGCACAGTCGTTTATTTGTGCTGTCTCTTTCTTAGTCGCTGCTGCACAGGACAGCGATAGCGAGCCTTGAGTTGCCTTTGCTTTTCAACTTAAACTTGACTAAAATGTGTCGATGTTGTCAAACCAGTTCACATTAATAGTGAACCAACTCAAAATAAACAAAAACGCAAAATAAATACAAACATTCTGTTTGGCCGGTTTGAAATACTAACCTACTGAAGCGGAAATATCGCAAACCCAAAAATGTATGTCCACTGAATAGACTCGGATTTTGGCATTCCGTAATGACTATCTATATGCTGTTGGCTGGGTAAATGAAACAGCCCACATATAGTAATTATTCAAAAGAACAGTTTTGCATATGTTTGTCGCAAATATCCTCCACAAAATTGGTGTTATGTTACCTTTTGCATAAAATTAAATGCGTAATGTTTGATTATTTGTTTGGAAATCTATTTGCAGGCATTTGACGCAAATTTTTCAAGATCAGCTAGTTCAAATCAAACAATATTTCATTTCATTTTTTTATACATAAAGCAAAGTAATGATGGCTTCCATAAAGTCACATGCTCAGTACGCATTAATTTCAACCCATTGAGCAGATGCATTCAAAAAGAAATCATTTTCTGCGTATATGAAGAACTTTGTTTCAACAACATTCCTGTGGAGCATTAAGTGACGGTGGGATCCGCTGAGGTCGAGGATGTACTAGAAATAGCACCGAACGTCTCACATTATTCCGTGTTCTTAGTTGACCCGCCGAAATGACAGTTAATATAATTAGCGTTATGAAGAAGGAGACACGATTGTTGGGACAAGAGCTTTATTAGCCTGACGTTTAGGATTCCTGCTCGAGCCCATCATCAGAGACAAAAGCAAATAGGGGTGGTTCATGCACAAGGGGCTGCAGTATTTATAGGATGCCGTAAACATGCTACCGCATACCTGAGAACATTCACGGCTCGCCCTTCATCCGGGATAGTCGCCCTTGGTGTGCTAATTGCTTGATGGCTGACATTCGAGTCGTTAATTGCTGCAATTTCGTCACGTGCGTTGGATGTTGGCGTGATGATTGCTCGACCATCTGACACACTGACCCTGGATTTGGGAAAAGTGTTCACTTGTGCGCTCCCCGCGTGGCTAATTACTCCGCCTAGGCGAAGTCTCAGCACCGAGTATGGAAGGGGAAGTTAATTGCACTTGTTGATGGACTGGGGCAGTAAACCATGATTCAAATAGCTCCCGGCTCAGGCGGTTGTCAACTCTTGCGAGTATTTCGGCCTCTTCGAATTTGAATGTGTGGCCGGATCTTGTCGAATGAGCCGCAACTTGAGAGCTGGTTTTATTTCTCCGCACCGCTGCAGCGAGTTCGGCCATTCTCGTTCGGAACTGTCTTCCAGTTTCTTTGACGTAGTTGCTTTGTCCGCAACTGCACCAGATCCGATAAAGGACTCCAGACGTTTCTAGCCGTGGCAGTGTGTCTTTCGATTTCTTTACCTGACGCCTGATGGTTGCCTCCGGTCTGTGTGCAACTCCAGGCCCAAGTGGTGCGAGAAGGCAACCGACAGCTTCCGAAACCTTCTTGACATACGGAAGCGCTCGCCAACATTTGGTGTCCATGCGGTAAGGCCTTTCGTCACTTTTGTGTATGCACCGGTTGACGAAGTTGCGCGAGTATCCATTGCCTTTGAAGACCCGTCGGATGTATTGTAGCTCGGCAATCTTGTCTTCCGGCTCACTGCAGTGCGTTTAGACAGGCCAATAGAGCGTCCTTACACAACTGCGTTTGTGGCTGATTGGGTGGTTTCTGTTGAAGTTCAGTACCTGCATCGTATTTGTCGCTTTCCTGAACACTTTGACCTTTAGTCCACCACAATCTTTGCGGCATTCGAGGACATCCAGGAAGGTCAGCTGGTTGTTCTCTTCCTCCTCCATCGTAAATTGAATGTCCGTGAAGACCGCATTCAGACGTTCCTTGAATGTCAGCAGTTGATCCCGGTTGATAACGACGAAGGTATCATCCACATACCGGGCCCTGAACTTCGGTCTGTGGTGTTGAAAGATCTGTGACTCTAACCGTTGTAGGACCGCCTCGGCGATGAATCCCGAAATCGGCGAACCCATTGGTGTGTTCTTCACCTGTTCGTAGATTGTTCCGTCGAACGTGAAGTATGTCCTGAGACTAAGCTTCAGGAGCTGAAGAACTTGGGCTTGTCTAAGACGGTTCTCCGTTTTTATCGTATTTGCTTTGTAGTAGCAGCTCAATTGTCTTGATCGCCAGGTCCTGGGGAATAAAAGTAAAAAGGGATGTAACATCAAAAGAGACCATGACCTCATTTGGATGGAGGCTTACCCCTTTGAGTTTCTCCAGGAATTGTGCTGACGAAGAGACCGCGGTGTCTGACTCGGCGGCCAGGAACTTGAGACGCCGGAACAGCCACTTAGCCAGTCCGTACGGTGGAGTCCCTTTGAGTGACACGATGGATCGGAGAGGAGCGCCGTCTTTGTGCAACTTAGGGAGGCCATAGAATCGGGCCAATGCCGTATCTTGGGGTCTCGCCATGAGTCTGTCGGTCGGTGTTATTGCACCTCAGTTCTCCAAGGCCAACAACGTAGCATTAATTTCGCGTGTCAGCGCCTTTAAAGGGTTCGTTGCACATGGGACATAGAACTGTCGGCCCTCCAGTAAACCCTTGGCTTTTTGAAGGTATTCTGTCCTATCCAATACAACCGTCGCGCGCCCTTTGTCCGCTGGCACGATGACCAGGTCTTTGTCGACCTTGAATTCTCTAAGCGCATCACGTTCGACCTTGGAAAGCACTTCCCACGGCCTGTGGGCCATCAGGAGAGACGACACTTGGTGTCGGATGAGGCTCTTAGTCTCCTCCGTTGTCTTCGTCTGACTAAGGGTTGATTCTACTGCTGCAATCATGTTAACAGGTTTGCCGTCAGCCGTGTTAAATGAAGCTTCATGCCGTAAAACTTGCATCTGATTCTTCCTCAGCTCCTTGGACGACAGGTTGTGCACCAGTTTGTCGTTTCTGGGCGATGTTAGATTGGGCAGCTTTCGGAATTTGTTCTCCAGTGCTGTATCGCGTATCATTCTCTGTTCGCGGGTTTGTTCAGTTACCTTCTGCAGGACCATATTTGTACCGATCTCGCCCATCAACTCAAAGCATCTGGTCTTTTCTCGGTCAATCTTTGACGGTACTTGCGAAGTCTCGCGTGGCAATTTTGGAGGAGCACTCGGATCATCCTTCTGCCGCGTTGAAATACTGCCCGTCTCGCTAAATCTGTGTTAATCGGGAGCTTGTATGGAACACATTTCGGTAGCACATTATTGTCGAGACACTTGTGCAGAAACCGGAACTGCGAATACGTGGAGGCCTCCCGGAGGGCGAAGGTTTCCCATTGCTGGGCCGATCGGAGCGCATCGCGTCGAAATGTACTGCCAATAGACGAAAAGAGACGAGTCCCAGGAAGTAGACTTGAAGAAGGAGACACGTTTCGGATTCCTGCTCGAACCCATCATCAGAGACAACAGCAGATACGGGTGGTTCATGCACAAAGGTCAGCAGTATTCATAGGATGGCCATCAAACAATTAGCACACCAAGTGCAGCGATCCCGGATGAAGGGGAGCCGTGAATGTTCATGGGGATGCAGTAGCATGGTGACTGCATCCTACAAATACTGCAGCCCCTTGTGCATGAACCACCCGTATCTGCTTTTGTCTCTGATGATGGGCTCGAGCAGGAATCCAAAACGTCAGGCTAATAAAGCTCTTGTCCCAATGATCGTGTCGCCTTCTTCAAGACTACTTCCTGGGACTCGTCTCTTCGCTTCTATTGGCAATAATTGGCGTCTATTTCCACTATCAAAATCGCATGTTTCAAATGTATGTATCGAAATGTTGAGTTCTGGGTCGTTATAATGCATTTAGAGAGCCGTGTGCGCAATACACACGAACTCCCAAAGCATAAAACCTCATCGCCTACATAAAACGAACAGCCTTAACGAAGATCTCATATAAATGTTCTCTTGCTTAATAAAGACGTTTGCCCTGAAATGTTTCTCCCTAAAAAAATTTTGCTTGGATACCAGTGTCGCAACACTCCGTTAGTGATGCAAGTATTATCGCAGTTAGTTACCCATACTGTAAGCGTTGGTAGAGTTGCATTGGCAGCCGTGGTGGCGGTGGTAGTAGTAGTAGTAGTAGTACTAATAGTAGGATTATTTGTAGTATTCGCCGTATCAGTGGTGGTAGACGGGGGAAAAAGTTTTCTTCAGTGTTGCGACACTGTATTCCCGCCAGTGGTAGTAGTATTAGTAGTAACAGCGGTAGTACTGGTAGTAGTAGCAGTAGTAGTGGTGGTAGTAGTAGTAGTAGTAGTAGTAGTAGTAGTATTAGTGGTAGTAGTAGTAGTAGTAGTAGTAGTAGTAGTAGTAGTAGTAGTAGTCCGCCCGTAAGACAGGCTGGTGGGGGAATAGACAATTCTAAGTGTTGCGACACTGTATTCCCGCCAAATTTTTTAATAAATAACTGTTCGTGTACGTTACTGTTTTCCGAATTATGTCTGATATATTTCATTTAGGATAAACTACCCTAAGAGAGAACAAGTTAGGCCGAAACGAGCTGAACGGGTAAAAGATGTGCAGTGTAATTTTTTTTCCATAGATGATGTTTTCAAATTTGCGGTATTACGTTTTATGACTAAAGCGGCATCGTACACATGTGTGTATATGTCTGTGTGAAACAATGCGCTCTGTCATTAATTAAAGACTTTCCACGACTGCTCTCTACAGCAGCCGCAACAAAATAGTTCGTTGATCCGCCTTCAAAGAGTGACCTTGCTGACAAACAGGCAAGGACTGTATACGGCGCATGTGTCTGATTGGAAAAAAGCTGTTCGTTTGGAATGTCTAGTAGTCTAGACAGGCAAAGCATATTTTCATTTCCCTGAAAATGATCGTCGGTTATGCTTCTCTCTTATTGATTTGCACCACGGGATGCAGTGCTTGTCTGTCCGCTGGCAGTAAGTATGCTCAAGTTCTGCAGATTATTGCATCTCTTCCAAACGTCATGTGTGTGTATGTATTACGACAAGCTAATCATAGTTCAGGAATATGACTCCGATTGGAAACGATTAGATAGTTAGGGTCGCAATTATTATTATTTTTGCACGGAATAATGCCAAGATATTTTAATTACCAAAGGATAACGGCTTTTAAGTGAGCTCCTTTCTGACCGTCTGCAGAAAGCACACTCCAAAATAAGTGATTATTTAATAACCCGAAATGATCCAGTTGACTTTCGATGTTCTTGTCGACTCAAGCACACCTTATGGAAAGCATGAATAAAAGCACTTTTGCTCGTATTTGTCAAAAAGTCAAATATTCTTTGTATTTTAGACATGATTAAGTAGTATTTCTGGTTCTAACCGCCTTTTTCGATTCTCGAAATATGCGTTACCTAACATGCAGTCGCACTTGCGTTTGCGATCTCAAAACCGAGGAAAATCATAGATTTCTTTATGTTATTCAGGGGACTTCATGAAAATTTTCGGTGAATGCGGTCCGTGTTGTATACTTCATTAGCAAAATTTATAAACGGACAGTTACAATGTTTTAAAAAGGAATATATTTCAGTCATAAAAATAAAGTTATAATATGCTTTTTCAGGACCGCAAACTAACCTTTCCTCGGTTAAAATATTTAAAAAAACGTAACGTGATGTTAAGTGAATGCAAACGAACATTTTGGACATGGGTGTTGAAGAATAGATTTTAATTTATGAAGGCATTTAAGATAAATAGAAAATTGTAGATTGTTTAAGCAGCCGTCTTTAGCGACTGTTGTCTTTGCGGACCGCCGTAATGAGGTTAGAGGACAAAAAAGTCCTTCACAATAGAAAGTATACAAAGGCGAAATTTCGAGTTCCAGGTGTGTGCATAAGTGAAGAAGAAGATTCGAGCACCGGAACTCTTTGCTTATTATTTGTTTTTTATTTGTTTGTTTATTATTTTGTTTGTGCAAAATGGCTATCCGAGTGCATCCATAAGTCGCTGACTACGCGGTCGCCACCTGAGAACTCAAACATCAACGCCACCGACGAAATGGCATTCTCTGCCATGCATCAGGGGTGTTTCAGAAGCGACCGAGCGCATTGCTGCGGAGCTAGATAATGGGATTGCACACCGTCCCAAAGCTACCATGCGCAATAGGGTCATAAAAATCAAAGACCGGCTAAAGCCTGAAGAACAATCAGAAGAAGTGTACCGCATCCCGTGTCAAAAGTGCCCTTGTAACTACACAGGACAGACTGGACGCATGCGCGGATCGCGCATACGCGAACATAAGCTGGTTGTGCGACGAGGCGACGCATTATCACAAGTGGTCGCCTACACCTACGAAATGGGTCACGAGTTTAACTTCGCAGCCAGCGAAATAGTCGCCCACGCGCGAAACAAAACAGGCCGAGAATTGATTGAAGCCTGCGCCTCGGGTGAGAACTCGGTCAATCGATTTATCGATTTGGCGCCGGCGTACAGAGCCCTGCGTAGTCACCTCCGGTCTTGCGCCGTTGGTCGATGATTGGGCCTACATGCCTTATAACTGCCGCTTGTTCTCTTTCTGCCACGACCTCTGACGATGGACTCCTGTACGAGTCTGAAAGCTCAGGACAATAAACAAAGTGTTCCGGTGCTCGAATCTTCTTCTTCACTTATAGAAAGCATACTTCAGGATTTTCATTCAAATCTTACAAAGTAGGCAGGCTGCTGTATATGTTAAACCATAAAAACTTAAATAACAAGAAATATGTGTTTCGATGTTGACTGTAAACTTTAGATTTAGAAGGGTTCATATAGTATAAAGTAGCTATGCAATGTGATTTTCGCCACATTTTTCTTAGAAGCCTGAATGAATACAAGTAAGTGTTGTGACGCATTCAATTGCTCTTTGTAAGGGACACGTTAAACGAAAGGTTCTCCTACGTCCGTAGACCAGTATTACTATATGAGTATACAGCGAGTGACCGATCTCACGAAACGTTGGCGGAAATTCTGAAACGCATTTTCGATTAGGAAGGATTACTTAGGCGCGAGTGTAATATTGATTACCTTGTGACATAATGCTATAATATTTCGGACTTGGCAGAATGCCAGCTTTCGTATGCACTTCTTTGCAATCTCCTATGGAAACCGAATCCGGTAAAAAATGACTACTTAGGTAGCCTGCATTTTCACACTGATTTTCGCTGGTCAAGTAAATTCAAGTATATTTCATAGAAACCACGAAGAAACATAAGCTTCCCTTCAGTCGTTTGATAGAGAGTCATGTCATCTTTACATTTTGTGCTCGAAGAAGTATAATTAGGTTTTAAACAAGTTTTCTAATTCCCGAATAATTTAGAGCCTATTCAGTCGTTGCATTAGCGCTTAGTGATCACAGTCTACAAAGTGCATGCGGTCCGCGTAAAGAAACTCACATATTCCTCTATGCCTTTAGGAAGATATCATATAGATT